GTAACATGTGAGGTCCTAATTTCAGTCTCCAGCACTAAGAATATCATATTCTGGGCCGATACCCAGTGATTCTTTAGTGTATCTACGTTCAGCGTATCTAGGATGAGTGGATTTAAGAAGGCATCTGATGCTGTAACTTTCACTCAGGTTGGAAACTCATGCATTGCAGAGCTCGTTCGGGGAGGGATGCACAGTCAGAATCAAGCATGGAGCCCTGGCTCTGACCTGGGAGGCTGGAGCAACTTCTTATGCCATGGCATACACTTGGGCAACAGGGAGAACACCATGACCTCTTCCCTGGAAAAATACAAAGCACTTCTTGTTCCTGTGGCTCCCAGACCTCATTGAGCCCACTCAAACCAAGAACTTCTGTTACAGACATAGCTTATAGCTCATCTAGTAGTACCCTTTCATCTCTACCACTAGACTTCTGTGGTGTCATCAAGGCACAGCAAAAGGAAATCAAGTTGGGTGTCCTCTCAGACAAGAAAGAGCCTTGTTGTTTTATGGTGGGTCTTCTTGAATTGATTTAACTATGGATAAAACTTTAATTTAGTTCTAGGCCAAGAGAGGAGTGTGTGGGTCATGGTGGCTTAAGCACAAGCCTCAGGGCACTGGCAGAGTGGCTTGAGCCATGGTCCACAAGCTCTGTTTCTCTAGCCTTTAGCACTGGGTGGGAAAGAGCCTGCTGGGAAGGCAGGCAAGCCATCAATAGTGGCTGTAGGTGTCCAAGCCTGGCTTCTGGGAGGAAAATGGTGGTGGTAGCTTCTTCTCTTCTGGGGGTCAGCATGAGAGGGCAAGGGTGAGAAGACATACATGTAGCACCCCTGCCACACTGCTAGCAAGTAACAAAGTGCTTGAAATTACAGCTAGAGAGAGTAAGGAAAGCTTTGTCTGTTTGAAATGTGTGTATGGCCATTAGATGTTTATTTCTGACTGATCTTAAATGGTTATTATGCTCTGTATGTCTTGGTTATAGATTAACAGTTATTTTATATGTTGAAAGATTAATTTCAAACTCTTATTTGTAACATATATATGTGTGCATATTTGTTTGTAACATCTGTAGAAACACAGATGTTTTTAAATAGTAACCATGTGGCTTTGCATGCGATATGACTCTGCCATCTTGAAATTGCCACATGGTGTGACCTAGGGTAAAAGATTACAGAACCTTTTAGTCATAATGAATTCTGTTTATCATCCTATCTCCTTTTAGACCAAGAAAACAAATCTCATTTTAAATTGGTATTGATTTTAGAGATTGAATTGTTTACAATGGTAGAGTTTGGTTTTGACTTTTAAAATTATGGTTATGCTTTGTGATTGCACTCCTAAAAAGGGGACTTTATTTTTATATTGCAAAAACAGCTTTCTTTTAAAAATATGTTTAAAGCTATGAAACATTTTAAAGTTTATCAGATATTTTATAATTTCTTTATGGAATATATATATATATATATATATATTTCAGGGTTGTGTTTTTGCAGCATGCAGTATGTATGGCTCAGCCCTGGTTTGTGAATGTCTATGCAGATTAACAGACTGATTTGAAGCATATGCCTGGCTGCCAGTTCCTGAATGAATGTATTAATGCTGTTTTGTTCTGGCTGACAGGTTTGGTTTGGCCAAAATAGTTCAAATAAAGTTTTAAAATTGTTCTATACTGTTATATTATATAGTTGGTTCTAAAACTTTTTTTAATTATAATGTTAAAACTTGTTTACTGGAAACTATAAATGCTCCACAATGCTATGCCATGGGAGGCAACAACACCATCAGCGACATCTGATGGCTATGTTTTAAATTGCCCACCACAGCCAGTAACAAGTGGTTGACTGCCATGTTGGTTCAGTGATAAAGAGGGTGGATCTGTGGTTTTACCACCATCTTTGTTTAGGACTACCAGCTGTGTTCAGTTCCCTGTTCAGTGTTAAGTGCAACTTCTGTCCTTTAAGCTTTATGCTGTTCAGTCTTAATGCAATATGGTAAGATCAGCAAGATTTGTTAGCCCCTCTAATGTACTGTGTCTGACTGAAAGTTTTGCTTTGATTTTAGATCAGAAACATATTTAAAGTTATGCTAATGACAGCAGTTGGTTACAAGATTAAGCTTTTCTAAGTCTCTTGTTTATGTTTACAATGTTAAACCTATGATGGGTAACTACAAGGTTTGTCTATGTAGATCTACTTGAAATAGATATGGTCCTAAAACACTTATCTAAGGAATATGTCAGAATTAGAGATTATAACATTCTGTTTTACTGGATGCAGTTTAGAGCAGATAACTAAAGACAGACAAAGATTAAGTCAGATATGCTGGCCCTCAATCTTGTCAGAGATCTGATGAATATGGTATCTAATGCATGTATGTTTTATTATGACAGAGTCCTAAAATCCTGACAGTACCTTCCCAAGATCTCAGAGAAGATTTGGGCACAACAACAGATGGCTTTGACCCTGGGCTGTGTTAACCACTGGACAAGACTGTCCCAATGGGCCCACCACTAGGACCCAGCCTAAACTGTGGACAAAGCTGTGGACATCTGGAGAGTCATTGTTTTACATTTCTGAAGACAAGGTGAGATCAGTTTCTCATGTTCTTGTTTCCACAGAAACAGTCTCCCATCTTCTATGTCTGGTCGTCTAACTGCCTCTGCTCATGATGCCATGAGACTACAACAGCCAGGGACAACTGTGTAGGTGGTGAACTCACTACTCGTCTCTGTCATTTTGATTTGTACATTCATTGGTACATTTATTTAGCTTATAATTTATCTTTCTCAGGTCTCTGATCACATTGATGGCTAAGCTAAGCTAATGGTAGCTTCACAGCTAAAGAGCAGACAGTTAGACCCACTGTTAGTTCATTGGTCAATTCATTAGCTAGTTAGAACTACTAGGTATTAGATCTCTTTAATAATATATCTACCCTAAATGTATACATGTTCACCTGCATTAAAACATTATGATGCCTCCTTCTCTCTGCTCTGTTTCTGCTTCTTTTTCTATTCTTTCTTTCTCCTCTTCCTCTTCCTATTATTTTTCCTCTTCCTCCTATTGTTCCTTCAGCCCCTCAGTGGTCCTTACCTAGTGTTTTTTAATTTTTTACTCAGTAGTATTTATAGCCTGTGTTAGCCCTCCCTCCCACTTCCTCCTTCATCCTCTGTCTTTTTTCTTCTGCCAAGACTCTAACCCAGGGCCTTGTGAGTACCAAGAGCACACTTATCACTCAGCTACCTGTGCCCTAAGTTATCACAAGGGTCCTATGACATCACCTGGGTCCTATGTTGTAATGTGTGTCCTGTGTTGTCACCTGAGTCATCTGTCATCACCTGAGTCCTGTTAGATCACCTGGAATCTGTGTCATACCCCAACATGTGTCTTATGTCATTACCTGAATCCTTTGTCATCACCTGGATCCTATGACATCACCTGGTTCCTATGTTTTCACCTGGGTCCAGCAACATCACCTAGGTCCTATGTTATGTTGGCTAAGTCAAATTCCCTCATGATTAAAATATCATCTGTAAGCAACAGAACAAGAAAATTGAACACAGGGAACTTCCCAAAGACTCATACTCCAACCAAGGACTATTCATGGAGATAACCTAGAACCCCTGCAGAGATGTAGCCCATGGCAGTTCAGTGTCCAAGTGGCTTACATAGTGATGGGAAGAGGGACTGCCTCTGACATAAACTGATTGGCCTGCTCTTTGATCACCTCCCCCTGAGGGGGGAGCAGCCTTACCAGGCCACAGAAGAAGATAATGCATCCATTCCTGATGTGATCTGATAGACTAAGATCAGAAGGAAGGAGAGGAGGACCTCCCCTATCAGTGGACTTGGGGAGGAGCATGCATGCAGAAAGGGGAGGTAGGGTGGAATTAGGAGGGGAGGAGGGAAGGGCTTATGGGGGGATACAAAATTAATAAAGTGTAATTAATAATAATAATAATAGAAGGAAATTTAAAAAATATCATCTGTAAACCTTTGCTGTTAACATGCTGTTTTATGAAATTTTGAAGCCTCTAATGCACTTCTTATTAGTGATCAATTACATCTTTTCCTTTTGCTTGAGAGCCTGGAAGAAAGACTTGTATGAGATCTAATATGTGTTATATACAGCTCATGCTTTCTATTTCTGAACACTTGTTGTAACTGAATAAAGTGTGATGTTATTTAGGAACAATCCTGTATTAGGTCAGCAGTTTCTAAATGCAAAACAATTCTTTCCCCTTACTAGGAATCCTACTTGGATTCCCACCAAGTATATCTGCAACATCTGAACAGGGGTTTTAGGTCATCTCCATGAATGGTCCTTGGTTGGGGTGTCAGTCCCTGCAGGACCTCCAGAACCAGGTTTTTGGCTTTGTTGGTTGCCTTTTGGAGCTCCTGTCCCCTCCACATCTCTCTATCTCCCCCTTCTTTTATAATATTCCATTCTTTGACATGAACTCAGTGCTGGTTCTCTTATCACCTCCCCCCTGGGGGGGTGCAGCTGTTCCAGGCCACAGAGGAAGATGATGCAACCAGTTCTGATGAGACCTGATAGGCTAGGGTCAGATAGAAGGGGAAGAAGACCTCCTGTAACAGTGGATGAGGGAAAGGGCATAGGGAGAGAAGAGGTGGGAAGGCCAGGATTAGGAGGAGACGAGGGAGGGCACACAGCAAGGATACAAAGTAAATAAACTGTAATAAATGATACCAATTAATTAAAATATTTAAAAGCAATTCTTTTGCATATTGAGAGTCAGTGACTTTATTAAGAGGCTCTTGACAATCTGATAACACCATCAGAGTGCATATAATTCTGATTTTTGAACTGAAGGACAAGGACTCTCAACCACCTCACTTATATTTTATAACTTAGAAGAACCACACACACAAAAATAAAAATAAAGTAGTAGAACCGCATAAACACAGAGACATTCCACCAAGCCAGTTAAGAAGGCCCATTGTTCTTGACCCTGCCTCACCCGAATGAAGCTTCATCTCCTGTCACTCCCAATCTGTTGGGGGCCTGATGGTAAGTGGGGCAGCATTCTTCCTACCAGCCCTGATCCCTGGATAGAAAAGGGGCCAAAGTTTTTCATTAAAAGTGTCAGTGAAAGTGTAGATGTGTGAGCGATCTGTTATATTGTAAAAAGACAGCATGCCAGCCTCATAGTCTAGGAATATGCCCACGTGCTTAGGCTTCACTTTGATGTGCAAAGGGGTGAAAGGTGTGGTTGTGGCTGCATACGTGTCCCCGTTCCACAGCCGCACATGCCAGTAGCCAGTCTCAGGGAATGGTGTCAGCTTGCCCTTTCTGTTCACAGAGTCCTGGCATACTCCCACTTCCCAGTGGGTCTTGTCACCCACCTCCACCTCCCAGTAGTGTCGACCTGAGGTGAAGCCTACAGTAGCCAAGACACAGGGGTAGAAAGTGAAACGCTGTGGTGTGTCAGGGAGGTCTTGGAGTCTTCTCTCCACAAACTTGACACTTTTCCGATCCTTTGACAGGACGAGATTAGGATGAGCTGTCTCAGGGTCCAAGGTCACATCCACTGGTGGGAGAAGCCAGAGTGGGGAGCTGGATGAGAATGGGAATAGCAAAACATCCTGCCTTGATTTCCAGACTGCCTGTGCAAAGCCTGGCTCCTGAAAGGTCCCCAGAACATCGTGGGTTGGGTGTTTTTCTCCAATCATTTTGCTCTACATGCTGAGGGATGGCCAGAAACAAAGACCCAGAACAAGCAGCTGAGGGGCTTGGGAGAAAGTGGACATGAACCCACATCCTCAAACTTCCCTTTCTTTTCTCTGACTAAATATAAATGATGTCTCCTTTTACTATCCTGGCTATGATGGTAAATGCCATACTCACTCCACCTGAGGAGTTAGGAATCCTTTAACACTTCTAGGTCCCTAGTTAGATCAGCTGCTCCCCAAGGCTTCTTCTCTGAACTCTGTGATTTGAGGTGAGACTGAAAGCTGCTGAAGGGCAGATGGAGACATAAGAAAAGTATAGGACCCTGGAAGGATCCTGACCTTCCACTACTTTCATGCCCTCTACCAGTTTCGTTTGGAGAACAACTCACCAATTAGATGCTTAAGAATTCTCCTTAGGGCAAAGTACTGGTAGGGGAAATTGCTGAAGGTCTTTTCCAGTTCTGTAGATACTGAAGTCACCTCCATGGTCTTCACCTTCTCACATCTAGGAAGTATGGGAGACAAAAAAAAAAAAAGAAAAAAAAAAAGCCAGAACAGGGTCAGGAGCTCCTGCCAACTAAATATGTGAGTGGTGTCATTTTTCTGAGAAGTAGAACCAGACCTATCCCACTCTCCTCCCTCCCTGAAGGCAGCAGGTCCTTTTCCTGTCCCTGGAGGGTTATATACCCCCTTCACAGATTGGTATCTTGGGAATGAGCCTCAGGATTTCCTTGGAGTATTCTTAAATTTCATGAAAATGGACAGTCAGCCTTCTACTCTTTGTACTCCTGTCTTCCCAAACTTCTACCATCTTGATTGAACACAGTTCTACCCACAGCATAGGCAGAATCTGACCCTCTGTTATTACTGCTCAGGCTAAGCATGGCTTGATGTCAGAAGGGAGGTAAAGGTTTATCACTCCTGCTTGTCCTTCTCCACATTTCACTCAGACACTGCATCCCTTTCCTTCCCGCACTTCCTCCAAGTGATTAATAAGCCCACAACCTCTAAGCCAAGACCTAACTCAGTAAGGCAGAGTCACTTACTTTTCCAGAGTACTTTTCACATCCTAGAGGAAAAGAGAAAGAAAGTAAGATTGGTCCCAGAATTCATGGGTCATGATAGCAAAGAGGTTCTCCCTCTTCCCCAAGGTTCTAAATCTACAAACATGAATTTTCACAAGGCAAACTGAGGGTCCCAGTGCAAGGGGAGAGCTGCAGAGGGACCTAGAGGCCATCTCTGAGGAATGCCCAACTGCTGGTCTTAAAGTTTGATAATTGATATCACTCCCAAATGATATCCTGTATGTTTATCTTTGTTCCTCAAAGGCACTGGAGGCTCCATAAAAGGCTTTGCTCTTTTCTTTATCCCCCACATCCAACAACACACCTCAGCATCACTAAGGATCAGAACAGACAATTCCAGACTGGTAGCTGCATTTACACAATTTTGAATAGATTGTTTATCACTAAGTAGAACAGACTTCTATCATCTAAACAGATAACAGATTTATCTTTTTTTGGTTATTAATTATACACACTAAAAAAATGATTTCAGAGCAGGCAGATCTCTGAGTGCAAGGCCAGCCTGGTCTATAAAGCGAGTCCCAGTGAGCCAAGGCTACACAGAGAAAGGCTGTCTTTAAAAGAAAAACAACAAAGAGGTATTTTATGTGTCTGAGTGTTATGCTTGCATGTATGTATGTGCACGCAGTGCCTGAAGAGGACTTTGGAGACCCTGCAGCTGCAGTTAGAGAAGGCTGTGAGCTGCCATGTGGGTGCTGAGAAATAAACTTGGTCCTCTCAAGAGAAGCAAGTTCTCTTAACCACTGTGCCACCTCTCTAGCTCCAAGCTCATACTTTCAGAAAAAGTACAGAAAAAAAAAAAAAAAAAAAAAAAACCTCTTTAGGAAGGGATGGTGGAAATCTGAGATGCTGGACTTTAGCAACACCTGGAAAAGAGAGCTGGTCTTAGGGAAGCAGTGTGAGTGAGGGGGCACCTCATGCTGACAGGATGGCTTGCACAAAGCTGCACTGCTTTTGGCCTGAGGAAGAGTGCAGGAGCGAAGGACGAACCTTAAGCATGTCAAAGCCTGACTGTAAGCTCTTGCCCTCCACCTCAGCAGATAAGTAAACAAGGTCCCTATGTCTTTTCCCAAGGTGAGCAGCATTTCCTCTAAGTCTCTGTAGAATGTCCTGCTCTTCTTCTTCCAGTCGTGATAGGAGCATCTGCTGCTCTTCATCCAGTTGCCTGTGGAGCTCTTCAAACTCCTTTAAGATTTGCTGTTGGCGACTCTCCACGAGTCCCTGAGGACAAGGGAGAAAGCTGTTAGGACCAGCAAGTGTGAGAAATCTCTCCCAGATCCACCAGGCTCAGTCCAGACTTCCTTGTCACTGGGAGGATGTTAGGAGCACAAGTAATTCTCTTGTGAGGAACACTATCATCCACAGACCCCCGAATAGATGATCTACTAGTGCAAACCACTGGGAAGATGCAAAACAATCACTACTTGATTTTTTTTTAGCCTAAAAATGTATTTTAATAAAACACATTCAAGGCTTAAGAACTTAATGCTATTACAAAAACTACTGTTATGGATATCAGAGCTAATTTTGCTATTCACTACCCTGATGTTTGTATTATAAAATCTGCTAAAGAAATTGCAAATAAGCAGGGAGTGGTGGCACGTGCCTTTAATCCCAGCACCCAGGGAGGCAGAGGCAGGGGGATTGCTGTGAATTCATGGCCAGCTTGTTCTACAAAGCTGGACAGCCAAGGCTACACAAAGAAACCCTGTCTCGAATAGCTCCTTCCCAACACAAAAAGAAAGCACCAACACTAAAAGCTAAAGTTTGGCATCATTAATGATTATGGGAACTGACCTAATGAAAACCAGAGAACAGATGAGAAACTATGAGAATCAGCCACAGTTTATTGAGTTGATTCAAAGTATATATTTAGACTTCAGGGCTTAACTTGACTTGTTTTCTGGAGGGTCTTGTGATACAGCACAAGCTGGCCTTGAACTTGGGATCCTGCTGCCTCAGCCTCCAAAGGTATGTGCAGCATTTTCCCTCTTAATATGTCAAACAATTTATGTCCATTCTACATGACTGAGAATTCTTGGAAGGTATCTGTGTCTGCAAAGGCTGACTGACTAGAACTGCAGCAATATGGAGGCTGGACTGCTGCAGGCCCAGAGCTACTTACATTTTATCTTAGGCTATATTCAGCCTCCTGAAGAGCCTTTTCCTTGCCTACCTCGGTGCTGGTTCTAGCATTCTGTGATTAACAGATAAAAGACTAGACTGGATAGGTCTCATTAGACAGCATGAAAGAAACTGCTGAGATCATGCTAGTCTGAGTGGTCTGAGGTACTTTTCTGTGACTACCTGCTTACTGTTTCTGACAATGTACTTCTATAAAAATGTCTTGCTTTATGGCTTTATTTGTTCTGGTACTACAAAAACTTCATGAAACTTTCCAAGTTGAAATATGGAATTTCAGTAACCAAAATCAGTGTCTGAAGGCCATGTCTCTCATTTGGGGCTCTATAATAAGTGCTTATCTTCTTTGAGGTAGCTGAGAGTTGTTTTTTCTGCTGACAGATATTTTTTAGTAAAATAGTTACTTATAATTTGAAACATGCAGCTCATAGCAGCACAGTCTAAAAAACATCCCTGAAGTCTGAGAGTACAGGCATGAAGCAGGAGCCATATCACTTTCTGAGGGTTATCAGTACATCCCCCCTCTGTGTCTTCCTGCCAGTGACCTTGCTCTTTGAAGGATCCTTAAGTCCTTTAGCTGACATGGAGGCATCAGCTCAAAAGAGATGCTTCTAGAGATAGGATTCACAAAGATATGCACATGGAAGAGAGTCAGGGCTCAGGTTCAAGAGTAGTGGGTATAGATACAAGCCTGTGGGCCTCACAAACCTGGCAGTCCTGGATCTGAAGCTACTCCCAGCATACAACAAAGTAGCTTTCATTTACAGGGTCATTTGCTGCTTTCTAAGAGGGCAACTGCAGCCTTTGTCTTGCATAGAGCTTCTCAGTGTGATGAATTATCCTCATATCACATCAGCCCCTTTCCTTCACTTCTTAGATCCTTATCCTCAATAGTTAATCCATGATAAGTAATTTAAGGTCAGTGTTTAATGATACACCTAACGAAACATCATTTTGGGAGAACAGCAGTTTTCCAATTAACTAAATAGGTTAAGTAAAGTGTTGCTGATTTGCTTATAGGCAAATAACAGCAAAGCTAGGAAGGCAACCAGTGTTTTACCTTGAGCTCCCCTGGTTTCTTTTCTTCAGAGGCTTTGCAGCATGTGATCTCCTGAAGCTTCTGTTCCAGGGGCTCCAGGCACTTCTGCAGTTTCTCCTGAGCATTGCGAGAAAGGGGGAGTTAGTTGATACATCCATTATTCAAGAGTAATAACCTACTTATTATTTATTTATTTATTTTGTTGTTAAAGATTTATTTTTAGTCACGTGAATGTGTAAGTGTCTGCTTGAGTTTATGTGCATGTGTGTGTACTGGTACCCATGGAAGGTAGAAGATGGCATCAGATTTCCTGGAACTGAGGTTATAGGCAGTGGTGAACTGCTGCCTGGGAACCAAACTCAGAGCCTCAAGCATGCTAGATAAATGTTTTACTATAAATGTATACTCTCCACTCCTAAATCATTTAATTTCTACCCTCTCATCATCACTTTTTTCTTTGCTTTTGTTTTTGTGAGACAGGGTTTCTCTGTGTAGCCTTAGATGTCCTGGACTCACTTTGTAGACAAGGCTGGCTTTGAGCTCACAGAAACCCGTGTGCTGCTGCCTCCTGAGTGCTGGTATTACATGTGTGCACTGCCGCTCCAGGTTCTCTCATCACTTCATCAATTCTCGACCTTGCCTGGAACTGGAGATGTCATGAGGACTTTTTATAGGCCCTTCTTTTCCTGCCATCAGTTTGTTACCATCATGTTTGCTGCTCACCCGACTCTCCTCCCCTGAACCTAGGAGTCAAGGTGTCATTAATGTGTTCCTTCCCACTGTGTTTGACAACCGCCTATCACATTTAAACTTAACTGCATTTTTGTTTGTTTGTGTGGGGTACTGGGGATCCTTTCAGGGTGTGTATGCTAAGAACAGTATTACTAGGATACACCCTCCTTCTGCCAGAAGCTACATTTGTACCTCAATATCCTTTATTATTTATGGTTGTTGTTTTGCAATAAGGTCTTCAGCAGGCCAGGCTGGCAGATGACCTTCAATACCTTATCCTCCTGCCTCTACCTTCTGAATGCTGGGATTACAAGCCTGCCTTAATATCTTTTTCAACCTGTGCTTTCATTCAAATCTAGCCACTTATAAACAAAATAAAGCTTGGCTGTAAATTACTTTAAATATTTTTGTAAGATTTTGTTAGTTAATCAAAATGAATATAAATTCTAGGCAGTAACATATTTTTAATTTTTATTACTAAAATATTTGCCCTGTGCCTTCACTAGCAATTAAATGTTAAATGTTGATACCCATTATATGGGAAGATACAGAGTGATTCAGCTTACTCTGATGAATATCAGTCTAAAGTGATGTTAGCTATTTCCAACAGGGAAAAGAAGTACATCTTAAGTAAATAGACATAAATGAAAAAAATCAAAATGTTTTCAATCTTCATGTGGTTTCCACTTCTTACAAGACCATACATACCAAACTTTGAATACTCAATAATAAATATTACAATCAGTATTGGAAACTCTGGGGTGCTTCTCACTGTTCTTGTGGATTACAACTGACTGAGTTAATGAGTACCCATGTATATAGCTCTAAGGGGAATTTGGAAGAACAAACAGCCTTGTCTCAGGAGAGAGTATGCTTTCTCTGCTGCTTCTCTCTGTGCCCACAGTGGCGTCATGTGTCTGGTTGCCTACCTTGTATTCCTGTGTAACATCGTCCAGTGGCACGACAGTGTGGGCCTGTTGGGTATGTGAACTTGCACATATCACACAGACAGCCTCCTGGTCTTCAGAGCAGAAGAAGCTGAGGGCTTCATGGTGCTGAGAGCAGAGGCTCTCATCTCTGGTCTTCTCCTTAACCGCTTCTAGCTGCTTAGTAATTTCCACCATACTGACTACTTGTTCATTAGGCCAGAAACTCTGGTGTCGGGATGTCTTCCGACAGACAGGGCAAGGGAAGTTCCACCTTAGGTCTTTCCACCAGTGGGTAATGCATGCTTTGCAGAAGTTGTGCCCGCATTTAATAATGACTGGATCCTTCAGATACTCCAGGCACACGGAACAGCTCGCCTCTGCCTGCAGGTTCTCCAGAGCAGCAGCTGTAGAGGCTGCTGAGCCTCCAGCATCGCTCTCCGTCATTATTTAACTTGGAGGTAGGGAGGAAGAAATGAAAAACATTAGTTGGAAGGTTACTTTGTTTATCTTTGCACTCCTATACTGATATTAGCTCTATATTCAGCCTCATCTTGACAATTTCGCATCTAATTCAGTATCACCTGTTGCTCTATTCACAGTGTTTGTGATTTCAAGCCATCACTGTACTCCCTCCCAATTCAGCACACACCAAGAGTCCCTAGTATCTCCATTACCTTTGCTATCTCACTACAACCAGAATCTCCCTTTAACAATGATCTGACATATTTTTTTTTCTAATAGATGAAAAGGAGCATGGTGTGGTGGCTTGGACCCATAACCCTAGTATTTTTTAAGCCCAGACAGGAGTGACTGTCATCAGTTTAAGGCCAGCCTGAACAACATAGGCCATATCTCTAGAGGGAGGGAACCACAGGAAATGCCAAAGAAAAAGATTTTAGCTGGGAATGGTGGTTAACTGTGAGGCAAGAAGATCAATACATGGATGAGGTAGCCTGGGCTAGAGAATAAGATCTTGTTTGAAAATAGTATATTTAGCCGGGTGTGGTGGCACATGCCTGTAATCTCAGCACTCACGGAGGCAGAGGCAGGCAGACCTCTGTGAGTTTGAGGTCATCATGGTCTACAAAAGGAAATCCAGGACAGCCAAGGCTATACAGAGAAACCCTGTCTCAAAGAACAACAAAACAGAAAATCCCAGTATTAAATGAGGATTTGGCTATCGGTCCTAGAATTCATTATTATTATTATTATTATTATTATTATTATTATTATTAAATAACTTCATACATGAGCACTGCACCTACATATAAAAACATAAATATTTCTTATAGTATTACGTCTTAGAAGTTTTCTTTATAATAAAAATATTATAATTAATAACAGTAGTTATAGTGCCTAACCTTGTCTATGACCTTCTTTTTCAAAGGGTGATACACTGAATGAGTAACACTACAGTAACAACCTTTTCCCAGTGAACTGTGAGGTCATTCTTCTTTTCACTGGACTAGCTGAAAGGAAGAATGCTCTTTTTTTTTTGAGTACATGTTTCTCTCATCTCATTTCCATTGATGTGCAGCTAGAATAGCTGCAAAACAACAAACACTTATCAACGCTAAGAGAATACTATTGAGTGGAGGGCAACACCTTTTCCAAGAGAGAGCTGGCAAGTCCATTCTAATCATTCAGTGGTGACTGTAGTCTTTCAAATTCGACACTGATAATCAGTTCCTTGGATACTCAGTGGCGTTATTAGGAATGAAAGGCAGAAAATAAGCCAGGAATGCACATGCTTATTATCCTACTACTGGGCAGGTGAAGGCAGGAGCATCAGGAGTTCAAGGGCAGACTCGGTTACACAATAATCTTGAAGCCTGCCAGGAATGAATGTGAGTGCTCCATCTCAATGAATGAATAAGGCAATGTATTGTCCTCTGTCATCTCTGATTGGTTAACAAAGACCTGAATAGCCAATAGCTGATCGGCAGAGTTAGGGCTGGAATATTTATCTCAGGGAGGGAGTAAGAGGTGGGAGAAAGAGAAGAGGATTGAGGAAGATGAGGAGGCCATTTAGGCAGTGACCATGGAAAGCTCGCTATGACAACAGACAGACGGAGCAGAAACAGTCAAGGCCAGAAGAAGATGCATTGTAACAGGGGTCATGTGGCTGGGAAGGAATGAGACTAGTAGAATCAAGTTAGAACAGATCAAATCTGACCAGCTTAGTAGTTTAAAGCTTATTAATAAATGTCATTATTTGGGAGTAGAAAAAAAAAACCCTTTATATTATTTTAGAACTGTCTGTGACTCCAGTTTCACGGGATGATGCCTCATCTGACTTCTGAAATCAGCTGCAGCACATGCACATATGTGAGTGTACAAAGGCGCTCACCCTCGCTCGTGCGCGCATGCACACACACACTTTTTAAGGGAATTAATGTATCAAATTGAAGTAGAGATAGTTATCACTTAATAAATACTATTTATTTTTAATGAACTATTAGTGTTTTAATACACACATACACACACACAAACAGTCTTGCGTTTATAAGCAACCTACTGACTCAAACTATTTTGTATTGGTTAACTAATGGAACAATAAAGAAATCATCAAATTTCTATTTAAAAATATGACTAGCCAGGTTGTGACAGAGACCAGTAAACCCAAAACTCAGGAAGTTAAGGTACAAAGGCTGCAACTTCAAGGCTTGAATGGACTACAGAGCAAGCAAGTTCAAGCCAGACCAGCATAACTTAGTGAAAGTCTACCCCAAAATGAAAAACGGAAAAAGGTTGGGAATACAGTCCAGTTGTGGGATGTTTGTCTACCATGTACAAAGCCATGGATTCAATCCATAGGACAGCATAAATAAAAAATATAAAATATTATTATAGAATATTTCTAAGAAAATATTTAAACCCATCATATATGTATTTTAGGTTTTTATGTATGAATTCATACACTTCCTCTATCTCTATGTATGCTACTGAGTTAGTTAATCAACATTTAAAGAGATGAATACAACAAAAACTTTAACTGAATTTCTTAACACTAGCTCTGACCACACTAGAATATATATAATGAAAGAAAAGATTCTGTAGTCTTTCACTAACAATTGAAGTATTGGTATCATTAGAAAAAGGTGAAGTGTGAGAGAGATACAGAAAGACAGAGGCAGAGAAAGACAGAGAGAAAGAGAGGGAGAGAGAGGGAGGCAAGGAGGCAAGGAAGGAGACTGGGTACACAAAAAATGTGGAGCAAAGAAAATAAAACATGTATACTTTTAAGACAATTTCATCTTTAAAAAAGAAATTGAGTGAAAATATAAATCAAGCAAAAACAAAGCATGGAAACTTCAATTCACAAGGTTTGTTCTCTTTTCTTTAAATGCTAGTTATAGTGGCTTATACTTGTAATACCAGCATGCAAGAAGCAGAGGCAGAAGGATTAGCATACATTTCATGATCAGCATGAATACATTTTAAGTTCCAGGGCAATTGAGTTACAATGTAAGATTCTGTCTCAAAAAGTTAAAAAGATAACCTATGAAGCATCTCTGAATTGTATGTGGAGCAATATTCATTGAATAAATTAAAACAAAATTTAGTCTTTCAGTTTTTCCAAATAAAATCACACATATATATCATCACACTATTCGCCCACATATATAAATGTTTGTCAGATCCTTACATATACATATATATTTTCAAGTATAGTGTAAAAGATAAGCAATTGAAGTAACATAAAGAAGCAGAGGGCAGCTCTGGGAGAAACTACAAGGTAAAAGACAGAAGATGGGTACTATTAAGTGATGAGGTCATTGGAGCAAGAAGGATGGCTCAAATAGTGAGCCAAGGGAGAACACTACAATTTCCCAGTTGGTCCACAGCTGTATTTCTAAACACACATGATCCTCCAGAGAATTCTATTGACCTTGTGTGTTATTGAGTTATAATCATAACAAACATAACAGGGTAAAAGTAACATTAACTAATTCCCAAGGCTAGCTTGGAAATGACAATATGTCTACAATGTCAGTCTGTCTGTCTCTCAGCTACAATCAATCTGTCTCTTGGCTACAATCAATCTCTACCTTTCTCTGTCTCTCTCTGTGTCTCTCTTTTAGCTACAATCAGCCTCTCTTGGCTATAGTCAATCTACCTCTCTGTCTCCTTATACTTTCTCTTCTTCCTCCCTCATCTCCCCCATCTTCTCTCTTTCTTCTCCCCTCCGCCCCCCCCCCCAAATGTTCACCATCTGAAGCCAGGCAATGCACTATGAAGAAATCCAGCATAATCAAAGGTCATGTCCAAATGCCTCAGCAGAAGCTGAAGATTCAGTAATGAACACAAGTGAATAAACCTTCAAATGATGACTACTCAGTCTAAAAAGTCTTCTGGTTTAGCTCTGATATATAATGAACCAGATAGAAGCCACCTCTATATGAATCCCTAACAATAATCAATTGTGGTTGTGTGCCACTGTTTTCACAGTAATAAGGGAAGAAGCCAGCTCTTTCCAGCACTTGTCTGTCTTCTACTGTTACACTGCTACACTAAAGTAAATTAGAAAATCAGGAAGGACATCCTCAAAGCTGAAGAAATCAACCTATAGAGTATAGATGCACGTGTTTTGAAGTATGTAATGGAAGCATGACTGAAAAATAAATGGAATTCATGGCATGACAGGGACATCAAATTCCACAATTTGGCAACAAATCAATGGCAATGCCAAAGCTAGAGTTCAAATAGATCTTAAAATTGAAGCAGCACAAACAGGCTTGCCTCACTGTGTCCAGAGGAGGGAAATAACATGAAAGAAGTTCCAGGAAAGTTGTACCCATACCTTTATTATGACCTTCATTATATCAATTTTCCTCAGAAAAAAAAAAAAAGATATAAAAATAGGTTTCACAGGATGACTAGCAGATGGTAAAAAGCAGGCTTTGATAACAATAAACATTTTACTTGTGGTTCAAATTTTTTAGAAAGCCAGGTGTAGTGGTATACACCTATAATCTCAACATTTGGAAGGCTAAAGTAAGAACTCAATATACAATTAGACCCAGTCTGAAACAAGAAAAAATGCACAGCACAAACATATGAAAAGAAATACTAGCAGTTGACGTCACAAATCATTGCTTGGTCATCATCAAAGAAAATGGAGTTTTCTCAGTGAATAGAGAGTACTGAGTGCTGGTAAGACTACCACCAGCTGCCCACAAGATGGATTTCTGAGACTTAAAAGAGAACGAATAAATATTCTGAAAAACTCAGGATCAGAACTGGCAAATCCACAGTTCATTATTTCAGCCACACCCAGGTGGCAAATTATATAAATGAGAAGCTATTCATATAGGTTAAAAGGTATAAAATCTACACAAAAGAGTACAGCACTCTCTGTATGGATGTCTTGGATCCAACTACTCAGAGGAATAAGTATTTAACAGATCAGCAGGCAATTTCTCATGAACACTGTTCCATGA